CCGAGCCGATCAAGATTGCGGGAGTCGAATTGAGTCGGGGAATTATACGCAGCTCGGGTTGACGGGAAGATTTCCCGAGCCCGGCACCTGGCTCAGTAGGGTGTCGGGCCGGTCTTATCAAAGTGCCGAAGTGATAAAAGACTCATCTGGATCGTGCGAACCTTCTAAGAGAAGGTGCCGATCTGAATAAGTTAGAGCCGCCCCGTCGGAAGGTAGGTGCCGATCTCGACGCTATTAAAATACTCGCCACTTGGAGGGTCATCATGCGGTGATGGGACGGGCTGTCATAGTCAACCACTCAGCAAGCAAGCCTAGTCAAGAAAGCCTGTCAGCATTAAATGCTCCCCATGCTTGCATTAAATGCCTGACAGGCAATGATTGAAGAAACCTCAAATCACATTAATTAACTGTCAGGGAAGCGCCAAACTGCTCTGAGAATCCACTGTGCGACAAGACTGGTGAACAACACCCCATTTAAAGATACTATAAATAGCAACTCAATTCATTTATTTTGGGTTGTTGAATTCTCAACTAACTCTAGCTTTTCTCTGCTTTCTCTCTCTAAAATTGTAAGAAATCCCTTGTAAGAATCGTAAGTATATCATAAGTGCCGACCTCGTACGAGAGGCCGACCTCGTGAACAGCTAATAAAATTGTGATTAAACTATATATTTCCTTTATTTCCAGTCTTGCACTTTCAATATTTTCCATTTTAATCGTTGACCGAAAACGCTCGTCAACACGTCCAACTGCCATCAGAAGCACTGATCTTCGATCCGCCTTCGTTACCGGCCATATAAACTTCCAATCGCGACTCTTATTCAGTCACAACCTTCTTAGCCACCTCCATCAAAAGGGTGATGGGAAAATTGAATGATACTTGGCCGCCGATTCTGTTTTGCCCTTATGCGTTTTGAGCCGCCGCGTGAAAGAATAGATAGAGAATGAAAAAAAGAGTAGAGATGTGGAGAGAGAGAGAGAGAGAGAGAGAGATCTACACGATTAATGAAGGAATAATGGTGCACAATTGCCTACAAATCTGCTCCATTCCAGTTCCACTCAACTGCCATAATTAATATTTCGTGTTTTTACAAATAAAATCACACTTTCGTATTTTTTATATAAAGTTTCATGTAGACTGTAGAAGGAGTAAATTTCTCAATTTAAAATTTAAATCAGAGTAACTCCTATATTTCTTTCTCTTCCTCTACTTTTTTTTCTCTCCCTTGTCACTCGTTTCGATTCCTTCTTCTTATTCTTCTTCAAATGCCTAACAATAAAAATAACAACAAAAAAATATTAGTCACTTAGTTATATACATAAATAAAAATTAAATTAACTACAAGCAATAAAAAGATTTATTAAATTAAATTTTAAAAATAATGACTCATGGCAGTAGGTTGATTGAAGGTGATGGTGAACATATCATAATTGAAATATATATATATATATATATATATATATATATAAATAAA